TGAGCAACACACATACTACATGTACTGTATGTATGTGTTGCTCACTATTATTTTTTATTAGACTTACAAACTTAGTTTCAGTGATGTCATATTGTTCTTTAATTTAGCCGGAATAGCAAGCTGCTTTCGATCATCTGTACACGTGCCATTTAATTTGTGTATTACACAAATCTTTCCACGAAACAGACAGTTTTAAGTGCAAAAGGTGCGAAAGTGCAGAATCACTCCAGCATCCCCTTAATCACTACTTATTAATTGAAAAGAATTTGCGTCACATTATTTTATAAATGAATCCCAAGAGTGTTTCAAATGGCATTAAAGCCTAATCTACAATGTGCTCTCTGCGTCTAGAAACAGTCTATTTTGTAGTCAATAAATACGTTTAAAAAATTTGTGCAAGTTGATCAATTGCATATTATACATTGTATAATCCATACATCGTCGGCAAATTTTTTAAGCGTTTCGATTTGTTTATATAAAATAGAATGATTCTAGGTGCAGGGTAAGCACATTGCGGTTTAGACTTAGTGAAAAACATTTTACGTAAGCTGTTACAGCACCGCGGTTATTTTTCTAATTACTTCTCAATTATTTTTCTTATACACGTCGACAAACGAAGCGATTATACAAGAAAAGGAAAAACATATATGGACATATCTTACAGATAGTTGTACATGAAAACTCTTGTCCCGGAACGTTATCTATCGCGCGCGGGCACAATGCAAATGATTTTTACCTCGAATTTATGCCTCGGTGGTCGAATTTGTTGAGACGCTCGCCTGGTGAGAGGAAGGTCCAGGTTCAACCCTTACGGAGAAAACACTCAAGTTTTGAGTGTTAACACCCAGACTTAAAATATTTACACCCAAATTTGAGAGTGAATTCGGACAATCGAGTGTTAACGCTCAAAACTTGAGTGCTTTTTCCGTAAGGGAAACCCTGGCTGAGGTAATATTTTTCGCAATACATTTACAATATGAAATATTTAGACACTAACACCCTGTCACGGCTCCTACTCCTTTATTCAAAATGTGTGTTTATCACATTTGAGCCATACGAATTTTATTAATGTGTCGATTTTTATCCGTTTCTTTTAAGAGACAATTTCGAGAAGTCTTGTTTACTTCGTTTGTATATCGCCACGAAACTTTCGTATAAAACACTTTTCTCTGAAATGCGCAGTTTTTCAAAGGAACGCCTGAGACACCCTGCACATTATTATTTTGATATTATTAATATCGAAATCGTCACTATGGGATATTTAAATCGTAAAACTTACGTGAAGTGCACTGCATATACTGCGTGCAATAGTTGCGTGCTATCGTAATGTATTATTATTATTATTTTATTGTACCAACTTTTCTCAACATTTCAGTTTACAGCACAACTTGCTTAATCTGTAGGAAATACATTTGCACGTACGTAAAACTACGCGAGGACAGCGCTACAGGAACGTACATTTTTCCTTTTATAAAATTATAAAAAATCGACGTCCCACGGTAGACTTTTCTATCAACCATTTCTCCTCTATAAATCGTTTACGGACGTTTACTCGCGTGGACACGTTCCATAATTTCCCCTTACTCGATACCTGCGTTTTTCGACGCTGAAGACACTTTTGTCAAGGAAGCTAGAAAGGAATGTAGGTTATCTGGTGTATATATGCAGGAAGTGAACATACATTAAATATCAGTTTTATGCAATCATTCGCAGGATAAAAAAACCCGCCGTTCCATAAACGTACAACATAATATGATAATGTGATAGTAGTTATAATTACTTCATATTCATATTTGGTCGCATAAAACGTGACAAACTGGACTGGCGCAAATATTCCGCTTGGCGGACGATGGAGTGGTGTAATTAGTTATTACAAAACGGTCTTGTATATATGTGTGTGTATGTGTATAGATATATATATATCTGTATATATCTATATATATCTATATAAATATAACTGTTAGCCAGTAGACCAGCATGATATGTGACTGATACACGAAGCATGTCGGCTTCGAGTGTCGGTGCTTTCACCTGTTTCGCTCGGCATTCATGTAAGGTAGAACGAGATATACGAGAATTATATATAGGAAATATATATCGATTACTAATACCATGAATTAGTTATCACACATTCGTTTCTGCTAATTTATAAAATATATAAAAATCTTCAACGCCATTGCGAAAAGTCGAGCACACGGATATATAAATCGCACGTACGGATATTATAAATTGAAAAGGGTCAAAGTAATTAATTTGTGGAAGACATAAGAAGTCACGCGGTAAGCTTTTATATTCGTCGTTGGTGAACGTCTTTCAGGCGTATTTCGCGAAACCGTTTCGAAATACGAAAATGTCCAGTCGAAAGAAACGCGAACGCGCGCGTCGAGCTCTACATCTCGTTTATTTCAATTCCACGTTTAACCGAGAATTTTAATTTGATTCGGAATCATTTAAAAGCTTTTAATCAATTAATTAAAATTATACAAATTATCGCAATTAATTGAAACCAATTAGCTCCTCTCCTGGGAACTCGTGCATTACCACGTATTTCTAAATATCCCCTTTTTAGCAGCGGCACAATCTTCCTTCCCCAGCGGGTAAACGTCGTAAACTACGAGTACGTATCGAGAAGCTATAGGAGACAACGCTGCCAAAGACAACTTTATATATGTATACGTATATATTATAGTAATATTTATCTCTCGATGCACACTCGGTGCGGCACCGAAATTATTCTACTACAGCCACGTAAATAAAAGGTCGCTCCTCCTCCCGCCCGAGGTCCCACCCGGACACCGCCGATCGCCTCCTAGGCGGTCAGCGTGTCCACGTTTTTCGATATCTCGTTGTTGAAGTCCTCGACCGTCTCGGCGCTCCCCGCCACCTCGGGCCTCGCCGTCGGCTGTGCGTTGCCCCCAACACTGTCAACGTCGACCGTTTCGTTCTGCGGCTTTATGTCGATTATGCGAATGCGGAATGCGGTGCCGCCGAGCTCGTCGCCGGACGAGTATGTCGTCTCGTTCACCGTCACCACGTGGCCATTAATTACCTGCAATCAAATCATTCGCGGGAGTCAGAGATTAGTCGCACGCAATCTGGAATGTCATTGTCTTCGGACTCTCTCTCTCTCTCTCTCTCTCTCTCTCTCTCTCTCCCCTCCCCCCTGTCTGTCTGTGTCTCTCCCTGTCTCTTTGTGTCTCTCCCTGTCTGTCTGTGTCTCTCCCTGTCTCTATCTGTTTGTCCCTGTCTCTCCCTGTCTGTGTGTGTCTCTCCCTGTCTCCCCCCCCCCTCTCTCTCTCTTTCGTCGGGATACGAAGCGTGTGAACTCAGTTTAGGTACAAAAAGGCAATCCTCAGGACTGGGAATTGGTTCAACAATTTTCGCGCCCTCCTTCAATCTTCGCGCGTAATCCGATTCGTTACAACGAAGTTCCTCGGGAAGATAGCGTAATACGTACGCACACTTGTGCCCCCCCCGAAGGAACGAGGAGTCGGTTCAGAAGGGAGGGGGGAAGAGGGGGAGGGCGCAAACGGGTTTATCGGAACAATTTGCAGCTCCGCAACTGACAAACGCATCATCGAAATTAATTAAGCCTCATTATTGAAGAAACTGCGGCGCCGCGTTTAGTGCATGACAGTGCGATGCGGCGGTTCGCTCTGCTAACAAGGAGATACCATTGCCAAAGCGTGAATTATTAGAATCGGTCTGTTTCGTTGAACTTTCTACACCTTTCTACATGTGAAAGCGCAATGAGGAAAGTCCCGCGATACTTTTGCATTTTTTTCCCCCCCTAACGAAACGCCAAATCACGGTTCAATTTTGCACGTCATCGTTCTTAACGCATTCTTACATCTCACACACGTTTGCACGTTTAATTCCTCGAACGTCCGAGCGACAGAGAGGTATTATTCGTGTGCGAGCTTGACGCGAGCCTCGATACTTTTTAATGAGAACAACTCGCGATCACATCTCTCGATTATTACAGATAATGATCGCGCGTTAATAAGAAGGAAAATTAAAAGAAGAAACGGAAAAGAATCGTTCCCAGCTTCGCGCGTGGCGTCTCAGAAAAGAAACTGAACTCTCCTCTTTGCTCCCTTTCTCTTTTTTTTCCCCCCCCATCGTAGCGCGCGATGTCCGAGCTCGGTGTCCGAGGAACACGGGACAAACTTTTCGGCGGGCAGTTATCCGCTTCCGTTAGTCGCGCTTTGTGCGCGGCGAGTCGCATTACGCGTTAAGCGACTTACATATCGGAGAGATCTGGCGGCGCGCAGATTCCGAGCGTGTAACAATACGCGACGGGAAATGCGGTAATCCGATCACCCCTCCCCGTCGCCGCACACTTGGCGCGCTACCGTGCCATTGTTAAGGGGATCCTCTCTTCTTCCCGTTCCCTCCCCCCGCCCCCGGCCCTCCGCCGCGTCTCGTTGCT